GGGGATATTCTTCAACACGTATCGTGCGTACTCTTATGCGTATACGTATACGCGCCTCCTCGTACGTGAACGCGAGTACGCGCAAGTAGGAAATGCGTAACGGCGGATCCCGCGAAATGAGTGCATTAATTCGTTTTCGCCTTTCCTTCCTTCCGAGTCACCCGGTATTACGTCGAGCCGGCCTACCGGTTAGGCTTTGAGACCCACCAAACAGACCGGAAAATATGCACGCTGCATAATTTAAAGTAGACTCGTGGTACCTCGTCGCGACGTTCCTCCTCCCGTATACGCTCCGTTGTGATAGTCCTTCTTGCCAAATCACAAGAATCGCAATGGACACGCAAAGCATCGAGGTCGCATACTCCCCACTCAGTTTTACAGAAAGAAACGGGACACGAAGCTGCAGGACCCTTGCGATAAAATTGCCCGACGGATGTGGGCGGAAGTGAAATTACGGTCATCTCTGGTGTGCAAGGCCTCGAACGTAAAATCGCAAGAGATAAAAAGGCGGATGCACGTGGCCAATGGACCGATCGGGTAAGAAAGGCTGTTTTGAATTTTACATAATTTCTTCGCGACTGCGAAAATTTCATGCGGTGACTGTATACGGTCACTGTATACGTACGTATATATAAGACGTGGCAAAGACCGATAAGACGGGTTTACATGAAAGTTCATTTTAATAGCCCCTCCGGATCAAAGTTCACGTCGTCTTGTTACATATCGATGAAACGAACAGAGAGGGTCGAATGTTTCACGAGGTGGATCCGCTCGATGATTGATTTTATATTTAGCGTGGGACGTTGAGGAGGGTCAGGGCTCAGGGGGAAGGCGATATTTTCAGGCCGGGCAGTACTCATATAAATGTTTGGCTGGTAGTCGTTGAGACGAGGTGCAGGTCACTCACCGAATATGAGTGAACCACGGGAGAGCCCTCCTCGACTGCGTCGCTCGGATTGGCCGGACGCTTTCCCTTGGCGCTGTCCTGCGATTCGTCAGTCCTTATGTGCCAGCATGTGCACGCGATCGCGAAAACTCAACGCCGAGACGCATCCACGAATTCCCTCGATATCCACCACTGACGTCAACCACTCTTCAGATTCTGACAGCAGCGCAGCCTCCGTCTGGCTAAAGATTCAAAGATTCATCTGATCCCGGTAACCCGTGGGATTGCATAAGGCTCACTTAACGGGTTGACAAGAGAGGCTAAAAATCGAGTATTAAAAAAATTACTCCTGTATGTCGCACAGAGAACGCGTCAAGTACATTCAACCGTGTACAGAGTGCTTTTGCTGCGTGTGTCGTGGCGCCAAGGGAATCTCAAAAGCCGAAAAAAAAAAAGAAGAAATGTTTGACTATACCTCTCTATGTACCTACCGTCCTACCTACCTTCATATACCTACCTTACCTTACTGCCTAGCGAACTCTACCTACCGACCAGCCCGCCGTGTGTTCCTCTAACTATATTTAACGATAAAAGTGTACCGCGTCAATGACCGTGTTGTATATGCGAATGAACTAAATGTAGCGAAGTTTTGTTTACGTCAACGTGAAATTTTGGTACAAATGTCTGGACGGTCGCGTGTTAATTTCACAGTAATTCTTTTATTTTCCTTAATTGGTATACACTGGATACGAGCATTTCTTGTCCGGTTAGACGTATAATCTTAGTGTAATTAATTATATGAAAATATCACGTGGTGGCAGTTACTATGATTTACGAGCGGCTTTAGCATTCAATTTGAATTTCTTCACTCGTCATTGTTACAGATTATGCTCGATACTTGTTCTAACGTAATGAAAATCAATTTGTAGATGAAATTATGGTTTCGGTATTACACGTGAAATTTAATATTAACGAAAGACTTTTTTTTTTTCGTCGTTGCCATTAGCCACATGCTTATGGTATACGTACGGCGGGTAGTCTCCGAAATATTTATTGGGTAGGCTGTACCGCGAGTGACAATACTTATCCAACGATGGTAGCACGCCTCGGGCGTTGGGGAAGGTTAGGGCCAGACGAGGGCGGAGTATATTTTGTCCCCTCGTGAATTTACGCTTGGCCGAAAGGCCTAACGGGGAATTTGGGGTAGGTCCAGGAAACACGGACAAAACTGGGGCCGCTTACGAGAGGAGTCACCGTAAAAAGTTTTGTCAGGAACGGCACGCGCCACCTCGTATCCTCTTCGTATGCGAGAGAGAGAGAGAGAGAGAGAGAGAGAGGGAGGGACTCTCCTATTGAATGAGGGAACGAGTGAGAGTGCGTTTGAAAATCACAATGGCGAAATAGTCATAAAGAGCGATGGACGAGCCGCAGTATTTGGCGCGACTGTGTTATTTCACACCGGATTATTTAGTTAGCGTTTATCGTTTAACTCCACTGTCATATGTGTGTATGTATATACATATGAGAAAAAAAAAAAAGTAGAGCGGATATGAAAACTAGAAGGAGAAAGAAGGTAAATAGAGAGCAAAAGAGAGAGGAGGGGGAAGAGAGAGAGAGAGAGAGAGAGAGAGAGAGAGAGAGAGAGAGAGAGAGAGAGAGAGAAAGGAAGTAGGGGAAACAGCGTATACACTCTCGCTGTATAATTTGACGCTTCGTTGTCAGCTCAATGGCTTGGAATTTTTTGGTGCTTGTTTTGCGACTCAAAAAATGGAGCAGAGAGCACTGTTCTACGAGGAGTAAAATCAATATGAAATATATTCTTTTCATACGTAAAGTTTCCTCGCAGCCACGAAGACAGCTGGTACGAATGTACTTGACGTTCTCAGTGAACGGCACAGGCACGGTGGCCATTCATGCACGAAATCTAAATGAAGATTAAGGTATGCGGTAAAGAGGTAGGATCAAAGGGAACAATTAGAGACTGAATTAGCTGCCATTAGACTGCTCGTAAAGCCCACTAAAACGTTTAAGCAGGTGGCTGTATAACGCTGCAGAGTGAAGCATAGCGTGATAACTCGTTACTCAGTGGTTCGGTTGAAAAAAAAAAAAAAAAACAAGAATACTCTGCGAAGAGCATAAAAAATGTAGTTCTAAGAAAAATGCTAACAAAAGATGAAATACTTGGCGAATAACCGAAAGTTTCTTCACGCAGGTGAAACTTTCTGGTACGCCTTTACTCGGCGCGTGTATACATTATCGATCCAGTTTTTGTGTCGTATGACAACTCGGTACGGAGTGTTAATTAAAGAGAACGTGGGGGAATAGTGGGAGGAGGAGCAGAAGGCGGAAGAAAGTAAAGAGGAGAATGAGGACAAGAAGGTGGAGGTCTGCGCTAGGAAGCAGAAGGTTGTGAGGTTAGGTTTAAGAAAAAAAAAAAAAAAAGAAGGATGACCAGAACGAAATAGAGCAAAGAAGCTGGGACAAGGAAAGAAAAGCATATTGGAGGAAGAATCTCTTTGACATTCAACAGATTTCCTTCCTGTGTTTTTCTCATTAGCGAATGAGCAAATTGAAAGGACAGGAGTGACATTAATTAACGAAGTCGGGGCACTTGGCTGCCCGAGCTTTTTCCCTGTCGTCATTATGGGCGCTCTTGCTACTTTCTTAAAATTCATTTTAAACGTCACTTCGTAACTCACGCGTCCTTCAGGCAAAAGTAGACTGTTAGTGGGTCGACCACGCGTGCATGCGTTATTGATTCAGATTCTGTGCCAGATGACAACCTAGGGTAACCCGCTAATTGTACCTCAGGGTAGTTTCGGACACGTTATGGAGAATTGGCAAGTGGACAGGGGTTAGTCACGACTGAGCTTGCGCCTGGGTAACGACAGCTGTTACCACTGTCCATATACTTACCTAAGCACTTGGTAACCAATGGTACCGTAGACATGGTCCTTCGTCCTTTCCATCCTGTCCTGTTATATTTTCCTCTGATAAATCAGCATCGTCGCCATCGTCGCCATTGAACCCTTAAACAGTCGTGTTAAAATTAATTATAAAACCGAAAAACACTTGCTCCAATACGTCACAACGTATTTCTTCCGGCAGATTCAGCGTTTGGTATCCCTTATGATAAGCAATAGGATGTAATTTCGTTTACTTGACAAGAGTAGAGAGACTGAAGCAGTGCAATGGAAAGAGCAAGAAAGAGAGATAGAGCAAGGGAGAAAGGGAGAGAGAGAGAGAGAGAGAGAGAGTGTGTGTAAGTAGACGAGCTCAGGGGTAAACCACAAAACTAGACTGCTCCTCGCAAATTGCACTTGACAACGAACGACGTCGGACCCTCGCCCCAGGTAGATATAATCACAGGCTGCCAGTCCCGGGGAACCCTTAATTAGAAAAAAAAGAAATGATAGTTCAAATCGCAAATCGTTTGAAGGTACCTCGATCGATGGTATAGCAGTAGCTGCGGCTCAGGATGAGAGTTTTAATTTTTTCAGTGATATAAAAAGTGGCTTCCAGAGGCTAGAATGAAAAGACCCCACAGCTCAAATTGATATTAATACCTCAGCTTCTAGCCTACCATCCAACATGAAAATCCAATTGAAATAGACCTGACGATAAATAAATTTTCATAGTTATTAAAAAAAATTATATTTCGTACCACGTTATGCCTGTCCGGCATATCCCGTAGCGTCCAATGGGATCCCATGAATTTGTAGCTCGCCGGATACAACGGAAATGGCACGGCGTTCGTGAGGTTGGCAGAACCGAGGGCGCCAGGTGGATGATCCGCAAGACGGTTTGGTCTTGGCAGGCGAGGTGGCGAACGCTGGCAAAGAAAACCGAAGGTAAAGGAGTACGAGGAGGGCAGGATGGAACTAAAAAGTGAAATAAGAATCGAACCCAGGTCCGACCGACCAAGAGACCAAGTACCGCGGTTTCCCTCCCCTTCCGCCTCCTCCTTTGAGTACCAGCTCCCATCCCTCCCAGGTACTCCTTCTCTGTCCTCCTTCTTCCTCCTCGCCGACTCCCTTCTTCGTTCTTCTGCCGCGTATCCTATCTCTGGCACTCAGCCGGGACCACCGGAGGGAGTAGAACGTCCTGAGATAGAGAGAAAGAAGCGGCACTGACCTAAAGCAACATGGTCGACAGCCTGATCCGACAGAAACAACCGCGAGAGGCCTAGGCACAGATGGAAGTGGTATACCTGGCAATATTACATCTACACGAAATGCCCACGAAACTCAATGGGATTGCATTCGAAATGCCATTTGAAACGGAACCACCATAGGACACTGGCATTATCCCGGTGTATAGGTATTTCTATGGGAAAAGATCTACCTACCACTTCCGAAGTGGCCGCAAGCCAACCGACTCGTTTCCACGTAATAACACTCATTTCACTTCCACAGAATGCATTACTTGACTTCGGCGTATATCCCTCACGAGGTACTTCGTGCCTCGTACCTATGTAGCTCCGTGTTCTACCTTGATGATCCTCCGAGACGTGGGACACATAATAATGTCCAATTGATTTTCGACTAACCTCACTGTGTATCCTTCTTGCTATCTGGTACATAGACGTTGTCGTTCTATCCCGGGTACACCGTGTATCCCGCACTCCGTCCGTAACGGGAAGCTGTCCGAAGACCGGTAAGCTCGTAGACGTTCAAGATCGTAGAAAAAAATTAACACTCTCCGGACGATAGCTAGGAAGCTATAGAAACACTAGTGGACATAGTATCACGGTGACTATGGTGGGTATCTTATCTTGTAATACTGGTACGGTCCCCGGTAACGTAAATGACCTACTTCAGGTGGCTGTGGATCTTCAATACATATCGCTGCGCTACCGACGCGCCACGCTGGACGCTTCCTGAACTATAAATGCACCACGAAAACTAGTTGGCTCATTGCTAAAAATACCGGTAATAACATAATTACCGCGGTCACTCGACTCGCACGATGTGCTGGATGCGTACACGTGGCTTCTGGGTATATGCTATATATATATATATATATATATATTATCGTACTCTTGACACACACGTGTGTAAGTGCTCTTCGTGTCAGGTGGCAGCGTCACCCTTACACGTGGCTTCTGGGTATATGCTAGGCTCATTGCTAAAAATACCGGTAATAACATAATTACCGCGGTCACTCGACTCGCACGATGTGCTGGATGCGTACACGTGGCTTCTGGGTATATGCTATATATATATATATATATATATATATTATCGTACTCTTGACACACACGTGTGTAAGTGCTCTTCGTGTCAGGTGGCAGCGTCACCCTGACTTTGCTTGTCGACAAGACCATGATGCACCTCGAGATAGTAGCCATACTGCATATACCTGGTGGGTCTATTTTCAATGTAAAAAATGTATTTTACGCGTAGGTACAAATTTGAAGGTGGCTCTGAGACACCGAGAGCTTCAGGGATGTCGGGAATGAATTTAGAGGTTTTCATTACTTTGTTTCTTATGTATTATATCCTTAGGAATAATGGCGGGATATAATCACGCGTTAAGGTGACGCGACTTAAATGATGTCGCGTCCGGTACTTACGATGGGCGAACTACTTTTTGTCGATTGGCTCTTTATCTTCGCTTGGCCTGTCGGTTAGTCCTCTATACCTCATTCTTCGTTCTGGATTCGCCTTTTACTTTTTCTTCATCCTCGCTCCTCTCCTTTCCCATCTTCCTCCGTCGCCCGCCTTTACCCACGACTCTTCTATTTCTCTAGATTTCAAAGCGCTCAAACAGGTTTCAAAATCCCGCCCACGGAAAAATGGCCACCGCCCGTGCCTCGGATGGCCTCGAGGCCGAGGCCGTAAATCCTCGATTCACGCCGGGACGAATTTTTGGCTCGGGGCTTATACATGACCTTCGTACGATTATTCGACCATGATTTTCTGTATCGATTATTACAATTCGAGAAAATATTTGCACCTTACGTGCAAGTGAAATTTTTATAAATTTCATTACAGAAGATTTCCATTTTATCAGCAACCTACACATTCGACTATAGATAGATATCTTAGGATTCTTGTATTTTATAAAACCACGACCTCCGCTAACGGTAACTTGCAACTGCATCACGATATTACCTTCTTCCTTACTGTTATAAAAAACAACATCAATTTAAGCCACATGCATCGCTTTGGCTTCGTATTTAGGTGGGTAATCGGCTTACCGAGGCGGCCTGCAGCCCACTTGCAGCGAATGCGTCTACGTGCTGCTGGTGCTGGCTGTCATTAGGCACAGTCCGTAATACGAAGTACATTAATAAACGATAAAGAGATATATCTTTCACGTGGTTAAATACCATTCGAATAATATCGACTGTAACATTTATGAAAATGAAGTGGGAGGAAAATTGTAAATTTTTTCATATCCTTTTCTTTTTTCTATGCTAAATCACGTATGTTGTCATTAAAATATTTTTCTCACTCTTATATTTACTATTCGTAAATATTTTTATGGACGAAAATCAATTATTTCTCGGTTTCGACAGCTCTTGGAATTTCTGCCGTTTAAACGAAAGGTACATGTAACGAATACGGACCATGGGGTAATATTCTTTCACTGTCCCAGATAAGTGGAATTGGTTGGCCCGTGGGGTGTCGTAATCCGCTATACGCATTACCTACCGACTCTAACTTATCTACGTCATATCCGCCCCACGGAATTCCGTACATAAAGCATACAGCGGTGTACGTATAGGTACTATCTGCGTTTACGCGTTGAGCGCTATGGTACGTAAGGTACCTTATACGCAGGACGTGGAGAATTTACGCCTCGAATCGCAACGAAATCGTCAAACCTTACACGTTACTGTAGTTACGTTCATGGTCGTTTCAAAAAGTGCATTTCCTCTACTCCACGAGATCGGCTCGTATAACTGGATGCACTTTCTCGAGTATGCTGCATATTGGCCATTAGGAAATCTTGCGATTACAGTTTTTTGGTGAAACGTAATAAAGACTGGGATCGTTGTAAAAAACTATGAAAAATATTTAAATTTCAAAATTTCTTTTAAAGGATTAACCCATTTCTATTGTATAAAAGGGAAATACCAATGGAGTAGTAGGTGGTAACTATCACTCGTTCCAATTGAAAAATCGTTAATTAATCATACAGAGTAAGGTCCACTAATGAATTCTCAGTGCATTCTACCGGATGTCCAGTAGCTAAGTATTGTGAAATTGCGAATCGCGCAGTTGCTCTAATTAATGTCAAAATATTTACGTACAAATTACGGCCACCAAGGTGGGACCTGAAACTGATGAGTAATCGATAGAAAAGTCTACAAGGGTTGGGCCACCCTGTCTTATCCATTGTGAACTTGCTGGTTTTACAACTGCATGCGTTTTTTACAAATAAAATAATAATCACGGGACATCCTTGATTTTTGGGAATTATTCAAAATCCTGTACCTACCTGGTGGAGCGACGTGGAGAGCTCGATGCCGTCGACGTGAAAGGATCATTGCCATTGGGATAAACTTTGAAAATAATTACAGTGATTTTAGCAAGTATTAAATATTAAGCGTCGCAAAAGAAAATTAAAAAAAAAATAAAATAAAAATAAATAATGATATCAATATGAGAATGTTAGTGCGATAACGTCAATGAATAGTAGGATTTAACCTGTAAAATTTTACATAGTGAAAAAAAACGTTTGGATATTTCAATTTTTCAAAAACCCTCGTACAGACAGAAAGGCTTATAAAAAAATCTGCCAAAAACCTACTGTAATATTTGTAAAGCCTCCAGTACAATGTTCTTTGGTATGGTTAGTCAGGGATCGGTCCCAATCCACTATCGGGTAGCTATAGTCCGAGTAAATTAAAGGTGCCCTTTTAATGGGCAATACTAATCAATGAAATACGAAGCCAGCGCAAACGGTCTCGACGTATAGCAGCTCGCTGGCGAATGTGGCCGAGCAAACAAAGGGGTATGCCTGCATCTCTCCCCGAGCTGAGCTGCGATATTTTTCAGGATGGGATATTTAACGCGTTGGCCAGGTCAGTAACCCGACGCGCTGGGCCCCGCGATTGGCCGGCCTCGCTCTCTGCCACGAATTCCCGTAACGCCATTGGCCGAGCCGGGCCCTGGACCTACACCAACACGCGGGCACGCACGTCACGTACCTACGTACGGCAGGGCATACGATACGTCATAGGACGTAGGCCAAAGCCCAACGTGGAACGTAACTTGCGAACCCTGGCGTGATTCGTATGTAACTACGTTAACACAATACAATATCCTAATTCTTACTGATTTCAGAATAGTTCAAATTCTCACCGCTCTGCTTCGGGAGCGCGACACGCCCGTAGCGCTTCTTAACCACCGAATTCTATGATCAGTGTCAACTAGACGTATGCCTGTGACAGTCGATACGCTACAAGCAAGAATTCACTTCTGCGAATTTAATCAAGCTGTTGCTTACCTCGTGATTGGGTAAGCAATATACCATCCGATTTTTCTATAAGATACGCAGTCTACAGTGTAAAACAGTCGAGACCTGGTGGTTCGAGGCGCCTCGCTGAACGGATGCATGCGTGTCTGGGGTTCCTGCAAGGATGCCACTGGCTGCCCTATCTCCTCTCTTCTCTTTTAGCAGTCTCTCTCTTTCTCTCTCCCTCAGACAGTGCATGCACATACTCACCGGTATGCATCTGTGCATATGCCCACCTCAAAGTACCTACCATCGTGTCTCGCTTAAACTGGTTGACGGGATGCACTCACCGAATCGCACGACTGGCCGATCTTATGGAATTCATCTTGAATTGAGCGATGACCTTTACGTACGTAACACTTCAATAACCTTAAAAAATTATCAATTATTTACGTAAATAATTTTTTTTTCTAAAAATCCATCCGAATACGAATTTCACAGTCATTGAGAGCAAAGTGAAATTGCTAGGAGTCCTCTCGTAGACGGCGTGCAAAATTCGATTTCGATTCGACGCACGCTTCGCTAATCACAGGGAGTCCACGAGTCTCCCTTCCGGTTTCCTGTTCGAAGAGTCAAAGTCAACAAGTCCTACCTACCACCCGCCTAGGTTGAGTGACGACACCACCTACAATCGTTTGATTAAAGTTTCTCGCCTTCCTGCTCGCTAGCTACCCTACTCAGCGGGATACTCATACCTCTTCGTTATATATATATAATGTACTATTCCGAATACGATCACCCTATATATATATTACAAGGTTGGTGGTAAGGTAAGACAAGCTGTAAATACTGGTAAGTGAGTAAGTGCCGTGAGTGAGTAGGACTACAAGCGTGGATAGGCAGAGATAGCCACGTTCGGATGTAGGCTACCAGAGTCACGACCCTTTCTCATGATCGTACGGTTTACATCTTCCTACACGATGCAAGTACCATGCAGTATGTATAAATTCGTATTTTTCTGTAAAACAGTTGAGCAAAGTCATTGGAGGGTGTCGGTGATGAAATTCAGATGCAACTGTAATCGTCGATGCTCGATAAGGATTTACTGATAACCAGCCCTTGGACTGTTACGCTATACAGGTACTGGTAGAATGATGATTTTTATACTGAAATATCGTGCTACTCTGTAAAGTCATTATGTGTGTCTCACTTTTGTTTTCTTCTTATTAGGAAGTGAAAGAGAGCTGGAGTCGGCGCAAAGGTCGTGGTATTACAGTGAGAGTGTAAATGCAGCCAAGGGTAAGTTAACGCCTTCTACCGGTAATAGATTAGTTGGAAGGTTATGTGTACGTTAGGGAGTGATTACTGCACTTGGAGCGGCTCTCTTGGATACGATACTGCATCAAGAGAGGAAACGATAGAG